GTGGAATTGCGGGGTCATATGGGAATGTCCATATTTTTTTCCAGAAAGGCTGGACCAGTAGGCATTCCCACCAACAGTGTAAGAGTGTTCTCTTTTCCCACATCCATGCCAGCACTGGTTGCTTTTGTTCTTTTGAATGTGTGCCAGTCTCTGTGGTGTGAGATATCTCATTGTTTTTTTGATTTGCATTTCCCTGATGATTAAGTGATTTGGAGCATTTTTTCCATGTGCCTTTTGCCATTTCCTTTTTTGAGAAAGCTTCTGTTCATTTCTTCTTTCCATTTTTTGATGGGGTTGGAGGTTTTTTCTTGTACTATTCTACTAGTGTCTTGTATGTCCTGGATATTAATCCCTTATCAGATGTATTGGGTAAATTTTCTTTCCGATTCTGTGGGCTCTCTCTGTATTTTGGTCACTGTTTCTTTTAAGGCGCAGAAGCTTCTTAGTTTAATGCAGTCCCATTTGTTTCTGTTTGTTTCCACTTGCTTGGTCAGGCATCAAGAATTTTTCATTACTTCTCCCAGTCTTACACATGTACTTGGTGCTGGTTTGTCATTATTCATCAGGTCCACAATGTTATCAAGCAAGGAAAACTTTTTCTCTTTAGATTATGAAGAAATTATTTTCAGGGTAGGATAGAGAGAATCATTATTCAAATTTGTCAGAAAATATTTAACTGTGACTTGACCTTTTGACCCTCACTGACACCCCAGGAAGATCATGGGATAAGACTGATTTTCCTGGAGATACGAGAGGGCTTCTGCTGCTTCTCTTGTCTGGGTGGTCTTACCTCTCTTTGTTAATTTGTTAATGTTAAACCCACCTTTGTATCACCACCCTATGTGGTTTCTATATAAACTAGGACTGTAAGATCGGAGTGGCTCCAAAGAGAGAAGTAGAAAGGGAATCAGAGGAGCTTGGAATAAACTGCAATCGATACTGACCAGCCTGGCCCTTGTTCCTTCCTTCGCCTACCTATCGCCATGGGCCTCCCTGGGGTGAGGGAAGCAGAGACCACCGAACACGGGTGGCAAGAGAGATAGAGCACTGCGGCCCTTGGAAAATACACACCCATGGTCTGCCCAAAAGAAAAATAAAGTTGCCTGAAGCCCATATGGAAATTTTCACCCATGTCTTTATTTCCCATTGGGTCAGAGGCTACCCAAGGGAAATATTGGAGTTACATTTTCCTGTATTTTGGTGGCAAAATAATTTAGTTTTTTTTATTTTATAAAGTAGTTCACAATATTTAATTACATTTAATGTTCAAACACCAATCCCACCACCATTACACCTTCCCACTACCATGTTTAGGATATTTCCGTCCTGAACCCCAACCCCTGCCCGAAAGCAGAACTTTTTTTTTATAGTATATATCAGAGCTTGTTCCTTAGTTGACTGACTTGCTCTGTTTGCAAGTGCTTTTTTGCACCATTACTACACTAACTGGATTTTGGTGTGTCTCTAACAACATTTTGATCACAATCATAGGGCCACTTGTTCCCATTTTATTTCTGTTTTCTCTTTCATTTTCCCCCTTCCTCCTCACCTCCCCTACTCCCCTCTGCTCTCCTACTTGACGTTTCCTTCTCCTTTTTCTTTTTTTTTTTCTCCTTCCTCCCCATCATCCCTCTTCCAAAATTTATATCTCTTCTTGTCAATTTATTTTTCAGGTGAGAACATAAGCTATGAAAGCAGATCACTTAATCACTTAAGTGATCTTAATTCACTTGAAAGCAGAAGTGTAAAGAAATTATAGATCAAATAGGATTCTGTGCAGGCTAAACATATAATTCGTTTCTTGTCTTCTACTCAAAACCAATCTCATGTTTCCTCTTGTCTTTTCCCCTACTATTTTCACTTTCTTTTCCTCTGTTCTTCTCTTATATTCTTTAGAGAATTTAAGATCCATCCAGATGGGGTGAGAATATAAGGTCACACCCAGCAGCACTTGGGATCTACATCTGGTATGTGCTCGCGGATCATTCTTAGTAGTGCTCAGGGAACCATATGGAAAATTAGAAATTAAACCCAGGTTGGCCACATGCAAGACCAGTGCCTGACCCGTTAGCTATTTCTTTGACCCTTCTTCACTTTTGTTCTTGAGTTTATTTCATTTATTAATGTGTTGATATGCCATTTGTGATTTTCTATGTGTATGATCTCTTTAGAGTTATTTATAGAATTCATTTTTTAAAGTTAAGAATGTAATAAACTGAGAATTGGTGTCACTGTATCACTGTCATCCCATTATTCATCAATTTGCTTGAGTGGGCACCAGTAATGTCTACATTTGTCCTAGCCCTGAGATTTTAGCAGCCTCTCCTCACTTGTCCTTCCCAACGGTGCCACATTGGAGACTCTTTCGGGGTCAGGGGAATGAGACACATCATTGTTACTGTTTTTGGCATATAGAATATGCCACGGGAGCTTTCCAGTCTCTGCCATGTGGGCAGGATTCTCTTGGAAGCTTGCTGGGTTCTCCAAGAAGGAGAACTAGACAATAAAGTATGCGGCCACACACTTCTGGGGGCTTTGTTTTGTAGTCTCCGGATCTTGAACGTTGATGAGATTTCATAGCTACTGGAAAATGGGGGATATGGGTGGAGGAGGCCCAGTCCCAATCAGAGCAGGCTTGGAGATCTCAGCCCCATGACCCACATATCTGGGCTCTTCTGCCAGCTCCTTCATATGTGAGGGTCCTCCGAACGTGTGTAGAGTAGCCTTGAGCATGGCAGTGGCTGGGTTCCAGAAGTCTTCAACTGCCAGGGCTCTGCTCGGGGCAGGGAGGGAAACTCAACCCGCCCCCTCCCAGGGGCCCCGGTGAAGACATCCTGGCACATGGACAGGAGACTTTGTGTAGTTCTCTTCCGGGAGCTTGGTTTTATAGTCTCTGGATTTTGGCTGTTGGTGGGATTTCATGGCACCAGGCGCAGTTTGTGGGTGTAATTGCCTAGCTTCTGGAAAATGGGGAATCTGGGTGGAGAAGGCTCAGTCCTGATCCAAGCAGGCTTGGAGATCTCAGCCCCGGGACCCACGCACCTGGGTATTATCAAGGTTAAATGCTCTTACAGTACCCTAGTCTTAAGGTAATGCTTGATGGAAAAAATTTCTTTGCCAGCACTGGGGATTGAACCCAGACCTATATACGCAAGTCACCTACCATTGAGACATCTCCCTGGTGAATTTTTATAATTTATGTGACTACAGCCAGTAAAAAGAATTCATAAGATTTTTCTCAGGTAACTTACAAGTCCATTTCATCTACCTAGAACTAACCACCATTTATATCTGATTTACACTAGTTTGTCTGTTCAATTTTACATAAATTCATATTATTACTTCTCTTGTGTCTGGCTTCTTTTGCTCAGCTTTATGAGATTCATCCGTATCTATGGATACCAATATATTTTTTCTTTTTTTATTGTGTAGTGCTGGAGCGATAGCACAGCGGTAGGGCGTTCGCCTTACAAGCGGCCAACATGGCCGACCCGAGTTCGATTCCTTCGCCCCTCTCGGAGAGCCCGGCAAGCTGCCGAGAGTATTCGATATGCCAAACACAGTAACAACAAAGTCTCCAATGGAGATGTTACTGGGCCTGCTCGAGCAAATCGACGATCAACGGGAGGGCCTTTTTACCTTTATTGTGTAGTGTACAATAATGTAAAAATAATCACATTCATTCATTTTCTTGTTATGGGATGCATGGTCTGTATTAAATAACATTTTGGTAAACTTTGTTATCTGTAACTAATTTCATATGAGCCAAATAGAGGTCTTTCTACAGTCCTAGAAAAAGACTTTCTAGTCCTTTGCTATGGAAAAATTCTCCCATGATTGTCATTATCTAACTAACACAGAAAATTTGGATCATCCTGTATGGTAAAGCTCACAGAATTTAACCTAAGTATCAACTTGGGGATAAATATTGTCTTCACCTTTTCCCTGGTTACCTTAAGATACTGATGGTTATATATGCTTTCCTCAAAGTTCTACAGACAACCAGAGAAGAAAAGGCAGATAATAATGAAAAGATGGTTTGAGTGTTTTAATATATATTTATTTATACATACATTTGAAACAACACTCCTACATTTAGAGTTTAAGGTGATGTGAAACATTTGAAATTAAAGGTTTACACAAAATTTAGGACAGTAATTTATGATTATTTCCCATAAATACTTGAGAGAGGAAAAAGGAGGCCAAAGGTGTAACATCCGGCAGAACAGGTTTGCTAAAGGCAGGAACGGGCAGACCTCAGCCTTATTTTCTTTGGAAGCCATTTGTCACTGTCAAACACACACAGTACCCTCTCTTGTAGCTTTATTCAAACAAGAATATAGTTTGCATCCTCATATTTCCCTGAAAACAACAAGTTTCATTTATCAGCACTGTACTTTTCAAGCTTCATATCCACTGTTATAAAAGTGAGTTCTGTATTTTAAGAGAGGTTTTGTTGAGCAACATAATTTTCTTATGAAAGCCCATAATTTGGCCTTTTAAACTCCTATCCCTTTACATCCTCTTTCTTTCTCAATAAAACATGGTGATTATTTATCTTTGTATTATGTACTCATTGAATTCAGCTTCATTCTTTTAATAATCATATTATATTCATGTACATGATTGTTGGCCAATCAGTCTTTAGCTATTACTATTCATGCACAGCTCTTATAAAGAAAACTAATATTTAAAATGTGAGCCATGTGATGAAATTAAGAACTATTTTTATTTATTTTTATTTTTAAGAACTATTTTAAGTATAAAGATATAAAAATCAGGTTTGAGTGGAATCTACTGTTAATTTATGACAAAATTGTAGTCTTGCTATAACTATTAATAATGGTAAAAAAATAGGAAATTACTAAGCAGACTCATTAAGAAAATTGTAAGAAAAGTAATTATGAGTCTATACTTCAACCAGCTTCTAGTATTTAAAAATGATTTCTAATTCTAAGAAATATTTTTAAAAATGTATTTATTTATCTTTTTTTTTCTTTCAGGGGAGAGCATGAATGCAGTTCCCCATGACCCCAAATTCTGGGTCTAGTTTCCCACATTTGGGGAAATTGCAGGGGTCAGCACATCCAGAGTGCAGTGAATAAGCCTCGCCTTGGGAAAACTACCTTCAAGATCGTGGTTTCTCCCCTGCCAGGTAAGTATGCAAGAAATATTTTTAAAGATAATATATATTGTATTATAAGACAACGTACCCAGATTATAGGAACAACAGAAAAAGTACACAATAGAAAAAAATAAAAATTATGTAAAAATATGACAGTAATCACTTTATATCAGCGTTTTAGAGGTAGGTGATAGCCAGGCAATATTTTAGTTCAGGGATTAGCAAACCGTACATAGACTTCAGCTAAATCCAGCCAGTTGCCTGTTTTGTAAATAAGGTTTGATTGAAAAACAACCACACCCACATTTTCAAGTTATCTATAGCTGCTTTGGCACTTGGGACAGCTGAATAGTTGTGGACCAAATGGCTTGTAAAGCATAAAATATTTATTTGCTAACTGGTCCTTTAGAGAAAATATCTGTTCTTGTCTAGTTAGAATAGTAAAATTTGATTATCCATGTAAGTACTCCTGAACAAGTCATGGCTATATGGATCTTACTTCAAGGAGCTTATAATCTAATGGGGGAAAGATCAGATAAGGACATCAGTGCCATAGAACACACAAAGGAAGCACTTTTTTCCTTAGGACTTCAGTGGGGCAATAGTTTCACTGGGAAATTTTCAGATGAAGAAGGTGATGTCTGTTCAGCTCAGTCTGAAGCATGTGTAGGGTTTGACAGTGTTAAAATGCACGTGGCATGTTCCCCTGTACTGAAACACTGGTAAGAAAGGTCCCGTGAGGGATGAAATAAATGCATATGCTGAGGACTATGGAGCAGATCAGTTGGGTTAACACAAAAGAATATAAAAGAGTGGATTGCAGTTTACACACAAAATGGTAGGACTGAGGGATTTGAATGCATACTGAGGCTAATGGGATTTATGTGGAATGTTAAAGTGGTTTGGAGGCAAAAATGGTCATTATGGTTGTGTATCATTATTGTGTACTTCAAGGGATGAAGCTGAATCCCTCACCAAGTGTGGGTTACTCTCTTTCTGCTGAGTTACTTCATAGGGATCATGATGTGTGAATTTCAAGACTACCTTGGCATAGACCCTGGGGCTTCCTTCTTGCTCTCTCTTTGATCATTTACTTTGTGGGAGTTCCAGAGGCTTTGCCCTCAGGATACTCAAGCATCCCAAGGGACATTTATTTAAAAAGCTCTCTGATGGCTAATAATAATAACTGAAGTCTCCCGACAGCAACATTGGGAGGGACCAGTTCTGAAAAAAGATTCTCTAGGCCCTTTAGATAATGGGTGCTGCAGCTGATAGCTGTACGGAAGCTTTCTTACATCCCTGACTCTCCAAAACTTTGAGATTATTATTTTTTGTTTACAGCCAATAAATTTTGGCATAATTTGTTATGTTGTAATAGATAGTGAAGAGATTTAATCCTTATAGTTTTGCTTTAGATAAAATAAACCCACTAGTTTTTTTTCCTTCATGAATTCACAAACCACTTTCATTGGAGTGTGCTTTGTATAGTACACTATAGGAGGCCTTGGGCTCCTGGTTTCATGCAATGTGAAGTGTGTAAGATGAATCTTCTTAATGAGAAACAGGAGACAGACAGCACACTATAGAGCAGAAAGATTTTCATCTCAGGATCATAGAACATCTTTTGTGTCTGCAGCAGAGACACAGTCTGACACTACCTCAAAGGATTTCCCATTGAACTCTGTATACATCAAAGTAAAAGTTTGAAAGCTTTCTAAAATACATTCCTTTGCAAAACAATTACAGTAGACTCAGTACTTCTTCACAAATCACTCCCTGTATATTGATTATTTTCTTAAGGATTCTCTTTGACTAGAAGTAGCACACAAGTTTCAGAAAAAAAAAACTCTTAACCAATGAAGAAAAAGAGTGATTAAATTTACTAGTTTCTTATTTATTTAATTTTTAAAAATCGAATCACCGTGATATAGTTACAAGCTTTCATGTTTGAGTTACAATCACACAATGATCAAACACCCATCCCTCTACCAGTGCACATTCTCCACCACCAATATCCCTGGAATGCCCCCTCTTTCTCAACCTCCCACTGCTTAGTTTCTTTTTTACCTTCAAGTAGGAAAAAGTTCAGGTATGTACCTATCTTTCAGAGGGGTTTTGTGTGATTGAGAATAATTCCTTCATTCACAGAGTTTTGATGGTCTCACTTCTCCCCTTGCAGTGTTGCCTTGGACCATGTCCCAAATTAATGACTTGCATACAAATATTAGTGCCACAATCTGTTAGGAATGTCCAACTTAGTTTAGTAGTTAACTGGAGAGTAGACTTAGGTGCCCAAATGGATATGTTTATTAATTTATCAATTTTCTTAATATTATGGCCTACACTAGAATGTGCACAAAAACAAATTAATTTTTATTTTTCCTAAGCTCAAGAGGAAAAATTTCTCATAGTATGAGGAATGCTAAAATGGCAGTACCAAATTATATTTTCTTTTTAAAATTCTAAATAAGAGGTACTTAAAGGAACATAATACACACGTTTGCTCCCTGTGTTTGCAAACGTGTGTATTATGTTCCTTTAAGTACCTCTTATTTAGAATAAAAATATTTATTTACCTCTTATTTAGAATAAAAATTCTAGGATGTGTGTTATCCATTGATTACTTTATACTTTGTAGTCTTTAAAATATAAGTCTTTCCCAATTAAAAAAAACCCTGAAGTCCGATGAAGAACTAATATGAGAAGACTGGAGGCAATGGTGGTTGTGGGGTGGGGACGATAGACTGGAGGTGATGTAAGGGCAAGGTCATTGTCACCTTGGTGATGGTAGAGGTACAGTAACTTTGAACACCAAAAGTGTAAACTTAGATTACACCATGCACAAAAGACAGATCAAAACGTATCAAAGACCTCAACATTAGACTATAATCCATAAGGCACATTGAAGAAAAGGTTGGCAAAATCCTCCATGACATTGAAGCTAAATGAGTCTTCAAAGATGACACGCCACTGACCAAGCAAATTGAAACAGAGATAAACAAATGGGACTATCTTAAACTAAGAAGCTTCTGTATTTCAAAAGAAGCTGTGACCAGGATACAAAAACAGGAATGGAAAAGGATATTCATGCAATACTCCTTTGATGAGTTGGAGAGATAGCACAGTGGGTAGGACGCTTGCCTTGCATGGAACTGACCCGGGTTTGATTCCTCCATCCCTCTTGGAGAGCCCGGCAAGCTACGAGAATATCCTGCCTGCACGGAGGAGCCTGGCAAGCTCCCCATGGTGTATTCGATACGCCAAAAACAGTAACAACAAGTCTCACAATGGAGACGTTACTGGTGCCCGCTTGAGTAAATTGATGAACAACAGAAGGACAGTGCTACAGTGCTACCCCTCCAATAAGGGGTTAATATCAAGGATATATAAGGCACTAGTTGAACTCTAGAAGAAAACATCCAATCCCATCAGAAAATGGGGCAAAGAAATGAATGAAACTTTCTCAAAGAAGAAATTCGAATGGCCAAAAGGCACATGACAAAATGTTCTTCATCACTAATCATCAGGGAGATGCAGATCAAAACAACAATGAGATATCATCTCACACCACAGAGACTGGAATACATCCAAAAGATCAAAAGCAACCAGTGTTGGTGTGGATGTGCGGAGAAGGGAATTCTCCTTCACTGCTGGTGGGAATGCTGACTGGTTCAGCCCTTTTGGAAAAAAAATATGGATGTTTCTCAAAAAAATTAGAAATTGAGCTCCCATTTGACCCAGCAATACCGCAATACCACTTCTGGGAACATATTCTGGAGATACAAAAAAGCACAGTAGAAATGACATCTGCACTTGTATATTTATTGCAGCATTATTTACAACAGCCAGAATTGGAAAAGAACCTGAGTGCCTGAGAACAGTTTACTGGTTAAAGAAACTTTGGTATACGCACACAATGGAATACTATGCAGCTGTTAGAAAAGATGAAATCCTGAAATTTGCATATAATTTGATCGACATGGAGATTATCATGTTAAGTGAAATGAGTCAAAAGAGAGGGATAGACATAGAATGGCAGCACTCATTTGTGGAATATAAGCACTCTACAATAGCCAGAATCTGGAAAAAACCTGAGTGCCCGAGAACAGATGACTGGTTAAAGAAACTTTGGTACATTTACACAATGGAGTACTATGTAGCTGTTAGAAAAGACGAAGTCATGAAATTTACATACAAGTGGTACTACAAAGAAAGTATCATGTTAAGTGAAATGACTCAGAAAGAAAGGGATAGACATAGAAAGATTGCATTCATGTGGGGAACATAAAGTAACAAAATAGGAGACTAACACCCATGAATGGCCAAGATTAATACCAGGAATTTTACTCCATGGCTTGGAGGCCAGCCACACATGCTAGGGGACAAGGGAGCTCAGATAGAGAAGGGAGCACCAAAAAAGGGTGTTGGGAGGATCCTCCCAGGATGGGAGAAGCATGCTGAAAGTAGACTATAGACCAAACATGATTACCACTCAATGTCTCTTTTGCAAACCACAACACCCAATAGGAGAGAGAGAACAAAAGGGAATGTCCTGCCACAGAGGCAGGGTGGGATGGGGGGATGGGTGGTGGGAGGAATACTGGGATCCGTGGTGGTGGGAAATGGGCACTGGTGGAGGGATGGGTACTTGATCATTGTATAACTGAAACCCAAGCACAAAATTTGTAAGTCTACAACTGTACCTCATGGTGTCTCACTAATAAAAATTTAAAAAAAATTAACAGAATGGGAGACTAACACCCAAGGATAGTAGAGATAAAAACCAGGAGGATTGCTCCATGGTTTGGAAGCTGGCCTCACATGCTGGGGGAAAAGGCAGCTTAGGTAGAGAAGGGACCACAAAGTAAAGGATGCTTGGATGGCTCCTTGAGATGGGAGATGTGTGCTGAACGTAGACTATAGACCAAACATGATGTCCACTTAATACCTGTATTGCAAACCATAACACTCAAAAGGAGAGAGAAAGTAAAAGGGACTGTTCCTACCACATAGGCAGCGGTGGGGGAGAGAAGGGGTG